GCTTGTTCCCCCTTTTCTACACCAATACCAAGATGTTTTCGCCAAAGACGGCCTTAACAAAGTCCCGCCCGAACGACCTGGAGTAGATCATCGCATCGATCTTAAACCAGGGTTCATACCCAAAACATCGAAAATCTATCCGTTATCTGGAAAAGAACGAGAAGCTGTCAAAACCTTTATTGAAGAGAATACCAAGAAAGGTTTCATTGTCCCGTCGAAATCCCCTCAAGCCAGCGGGTTCTTTTTAGTAGGAAAGAAAAGTGGAGAATTACGCCCTTGCCAAGACTACCGATATCTCAACGATTGGACCATACGGAACCAATACCCCCTCCCTTTGCCGAAATCTCTTATCGAACGACTCTATGATGCCAAGTATTTCACAAAGATCGATATCAGATCAGGGTACAATAACGTTAGAATCCATCCCGAGGATTGCTGGAAGGCAGCATTCACAACGGAAGAAGGGTTGTTTGAACCAACAGTCATGTTTTTCGGACTGACAAACTCCCCAGCAACATTCCAAGCGTTTATGGCAAACCTCTGTCAGCAACAGATAAACGAGGGGTGGTTGGTCATTTACATGGATGACCTTTTGATCTTCTTGAAAGATCTTCAGCAACACCAAGCACGCACGATCGAAATTCTCAACATCCTTCGAAGAGAAAAGCTGTTTGTCAAACCAGAAAAATGCACTTTCGATGCAAAAGAAGTAGAGTATCTTGGAATGATAATTCGACCCGGAGAGGTGGGCATGGAACCTGCTAAAGTAGACGGAATCAAGCACTGGCCAACCCCAGAAAACCTGAAGGATACGCGGTCATTCTTAGGATTTTGTAATTTCTACCGAGCATTCATCACTCATTACTCTGATATCGCCCGACCCCTCATTGACCTCACAAAAAAGGACCACCCTTTCTTATGGACCAATGATTGCCAAAACGCTTTCGACCGTCTCAAAAACGCCTTTCTATCGCAACCAGTACTACGAAATCCTGACCCAACTCGGCAATTCCAGTGTTGTTACAGACCGATGAAAACGGGATGTATCACCCATGCGGGTACTTGTCTCAATCACTCAACCCCGCGGAACGAAACTACGAAATCTTTGATAGAGAGTTACTGGCAGTCATCCGAGCGCTTTCGGAATGGCGCCACTACCTTGAAGGAAGCCCCCATGTCGTGATAGTATTCACGGATCATATGAACCTCCTGTACTTCCGCTCCGCCCAGAAGCTGACTAGGAGACAAGCGCGTTGGCAGCTTATTTTATCAAACTTTCAGTTGGAATTGCACCACGTTGCAGGTACTAAATTGGCTGCCCCCGATGCTCTGTCACGACGCCCAGACCACTCAGTCGGAAAAGATGATAACGAGAATCGCATTCTCCTCCCTGATACCATGTTCGTGCGATTGATCGACGACAACCTCTCGGATAGCATCGCGCGCAACTCTGCCGACGATCCCATATATCAGAAAGCTGTACAAGCATTGGACGGGATATGCCTTCCCCCAATGAAATCCGCCCTCTCTGACTGGACATGCACCAATGGCGTCCTCTTTTATAAGCAGCGGGCCTATGTACCAGTGGCCCAATGGCATGATGTGTTGTTTAAGCATCATGATCACCCCACGGCAGGGCACCCCGGCCGATTCCAGACCGAAGAATTGGTGAAGCAAGATTTTTGGTGGCCCGCCATGGGGACCTATATTCGCAAATACGTTGACGGATGCGCATTGTGCCAGCAGATGAAAGCTGACACACACCCAACTACCCCGCCTTTGCGGCCCATTCCCTCCACTGCCACTCGCCCCTTTTCTCAAGTTTCCGTCGACCTCATCACCGATCTGCCATTATCGGGAGGCTTCAACTCTATCATGATCGTGGTAGACCATGGGCTTACGAAGGGGGTAATTATCTCACCATGTAACAAAAACATTACCTCAGAAGGAGTGGCTAAATTATTCCTCAAAAACGTATTCAAAAGATTCGGCCTCCATGAGAAAGTAATCTCTGACAGAGGACCACAGTTCATTTCAAAATTCTCTCGAGAACTTGCCCGACTCCTCGGATATCAGATCGCTGCATCAATCGCCTACCATCCCCAGACAGACGGGCAAACGGAACGTCTCAACCAAGAACTTGAAACCTACCTTCAAATCTACTGCAGAAGTAATCCGTTAGAATGGGCCAACCATCTTCCCATCGCCGAATTCGTCCACAATCATCGAAAACACGACGCTAGAAATACCTCCCCATTCTTCCTCATGATGGGCTATGAGCTGCGGGTAATCCCCCACATTTTACCTGTATCAGACACGCCAGCAGCAGAAGAAAGACTCAGGGACCTCCAGAAGATACGTGAAGAAGCACTCGCTTGCCACAGCATTGCTATGCAGCGAATGGCAGAAAGATCTCGCCATGGGAAATATCGACCATGGAAGATAGGAGATAAGGTATGGCTTACGGCCACCAATCTCCTAACATCGTTACCATCTAGGAAACTTGCGCCCAAGAGATACGGACCGTTTGCTATCACCGCAGTCTTATCTCCCATCACGTTCACGTTGAAACTTCCCAACCAATGGAAAGTTCACCCCACGTTCCATGCTTCTGAACTATCCTCCTATCGCGAGACAGAGATACACGGACCGAACTACACCGAACCTCCACCTGACGTTATCAATGGCGAAGAAGAATACGAAGTGGAAGCTATTCTTAGCCATAAGGGGACGGGTAAACGAAGACGCTATCTCGTATCATGGATAGGCTATTCTTCCGGAAGCAACGAATGGATACCCGAAGAAAACTTGCGGAGTTCGAAAGAACTCTTAACGAGGTATAAAGAGAGACACAGATTGAACTGAACAAACAATCCCCCTTGAACAAAGACATCCCAAGTATCATGACTCCCCCATTGACACCCTCTCCTACCGGATCATCCACGTCTGCTTTCTCCCTTGAAAACTCCACGTACAAGAAAAACATCATTGACCTTGACGACGACGCCATCGTCGAAACAACCTTGTTGTCCCTCCCTCACGCAATTGAACTAGAAAATCAGCTCGCCAAAGAACCTGTGTTTGTCGCCGCCCCCATACTATCCCAGATTCACGTTATATGCGCCACTGCCGCCCTTGAGCTCAAACTCAAAGAAATTGAGGACGATGCCCTCAGACTCGCTTGCCAACACCTCCAAAGACAAATTCGCAGTCTTGAGATTCAGCTTCTTCCTTCTGCTTTTAGCACTGTCTGAAAAACAGTTATACGAACTGTTGCAGAATGAAACAAGACCGAAATCGGTCGCCCGCCAAGCCCTTCTACTAGCGCTCCCCCCAGCAGCATACCTGCTGCAGATACGACTAGAAAAGAGCCTCAGCTTGTTGCTCAACCAGCACAAGCTGAAGAAGCATTACCCATCCCAGAACACACCGTCGTCTTTAAACGAAAGACCCGCAGGGGAGCCACAGTGCATGGAGTGTCGAAGACTAGAGCTTCTAAGGGAAAGAAGCGTGAAGTCATTGACCTCACCGAAACCCCCGACGTCATCACAGTAAAACAACCTCAGTTCTCCTCAGACAATTTCATTTGTCGCGTCTGCAAGAAACTTGGACACCGCCACAAGAACTGTCCTGAATACCACTGCCGCGTATGCCAAGGTCAAAAGCCTGGCCATTTTTCCATCTACTGCCCCTACGCCGCCAAGAAAGAGCAATTCCCGTTGGTCTACACCGACGAAGGCTTTTACGAAGCATTGTCGGAATGGGAGGCTAAGAAAGATGAGGAACTTCGAGAAGAGATCGAACGAGCAAATCGGGAGTATGCAACTCGGTATAATGAGCCAGAGTTTTGCAACGCTGACGCAGACCCACTCTACTACGAACACATGGACGAGTACGTCAACACCGAAGAATATTGAAGCCGGAGACTTCAACCGTAGCAGCGGGGTAATGTTACAATAACATTTTACCCCTATCTTCATTTCTCTTATCTCGCTTACAAACGGGCCGTCCGTATCATGCTTATCCCTTATCGTCGCCAAGCGGGCTGTCCGCCTTATCTTTCGTCTTATCATGCTTCTATCTTGATAGTCATTTACAAGCTCCGCTTGAACATTAGCTATATAGACTAGCTACCAAACCGATTGTATTCTTTACTTTAATCTACTGGGTTTTACCTGGAACATTGTCCTTCAGTAAGGTCTCCAACCTTACTGTCTAAGAACCATTATTCTAAGGGAGTCAGCGACACTCGCCTTAGCCAGAAACCTTGATCTCTCATTCGAGAGCAGACCCCTGTCTATCTGGCATTTTGCCGATTGTCTATTCAGACACAGATAGCTCGACTTATCCCAGTCATAACACATACCCTTACCCAAGGGCACCTCTGTTGGGATCCGACGAATCTGAAGGAGACAAGGCCGAAAGGATGAGAGCCGAGAGGGAGAGGCAGCAACTGGCCGAAGCGTAGAGCCAAGGGAGAGGACACCAAGTGCGAGCGTATCCAAACGGAGAATGAGGTCGACGTGTCGTGGCCAACTCGTGCGCTGTCCATCTTTTAGTTTAGCTTAGCATAAATGACTGTACCTGGGAGACTCACCTTATAAGCCCAGGTACCCGCATCCAAACATCTCAGTTTCAACTCGAATACTGAGATGTAAGTTAGTATTTTCGTAACGTTCGACTCGAGGTCTAACGTTATATTAGATTCGTACCTTTGTGTCTAGGTACAACATTTTGTTAATCGGAGTTTCAACTCGAATACTGAGATATTCGTACCTTTGTGTCTAGCTGCGCGTGACCGTCTCGCTATACTCTCAATAACCTCCAGGAAGCTGGTCCCCAAGTTCATCGGACCCTATAAAATCATTGAGGACTTCGGTAACAACTCATACAAGTTAGAGTTACCTAGTCACCTCCATCAACGAGGTGTCCACCCCATATTCCACTCATCCTACCTGCGAATTCATGTCCCTAATGATGATCGTCTTTTCCCAGGACAAATGGAGACCCAAGTTGCTGAATTCGAAGACACCGAGTCAGAATGGGTGATTGACAAAGTACTGGCCCACTCAGGACGGCGCGTGGACTCCACATTTCAAATTTTGTGGAAGTCAGGGGATATCACCTGGCTGGTGTACGATCAAATAGCCGAGTTGGGGGCATTAAAGGATTATTTCACCACGCTGGGCATCGAAAATGTCTCAGAATTGGGTGATGGACTTGGGAACCTCCCTACAGGGGACTCCCAAGTGTCAGCTGGGTGCTTATCTCTCGGCGAGTCCACCTATAAAGGACTCACCACCATCCCATCATCCCCTGAAACCTCCTTTTCCCTAACCACCGACCACTCCTTGCTACTATTTGCCTGCAACTTCACAATCAACCCCATGGCATCTCTCCTTACTCGTATTGGCGCCCGCAAGTTCACCATCCCCAACGGCATAGGCAATGGGGACATAATGATAGTCCTAGAGATGCTCTGCACATACCTCGAGCACAACACTCATCTGCGCTCTGGGACAGCAACGGACTGGGCCACCCCTGCAGGTTATGGAGAGTTCTCTCTGTCCTTTAATATGATGCAAACCACAAATGGACTCACCTCTCGCATTGCCGAAGAATCCTCCGAGGGACCCCGCATCAGCGGGCCCTCCCCATCCTTCGTTGACCTTGTTGGGGAAGAGGTACCCCCCAGCACCCAGGCTGCCCATGCTCCTGCTCAACCACCACTGGAAGGTGGCCGCTGGATTAACCCCCGCTGGGCTGAGTTGCTTGAAGAGGCACTGTGGATGAACCTAGAGACGGCCAAACGGCAGAGAGAGTGGCGCGACCGAAGCATTGCCAACAGAAAGGCCAAACGGGCGCGCCACACGTCTAGCCTGCCACCCATCTATCAGACCACAGATTTGGGAGAGGGACCAAGTAACACTTGCCAGTGCTGCCGCGGTCCGGTCCAGAACTATGGTTCGAACTGGACTTTTGGTCCAGTTCTCCGCGGTTCGGTCCATGGTTCTCACACCAGCCAGAACCAGACCGGAAAAAGGTTCTCGGTTCTAGGTCTTCCCCAACGGTCCCGTTCTGGTTCAGCCTTGCCGAACCATTCCGAACCATTATCGACTTTGACTTTGACTTTGACTGTGACAACTTCGGTCTCCACGTCAAACTGTTGTCTTCGGGATTCGCACTACGGTTAATCAGGCTACCTTTAGCCTTTTTGAAGGTAAGTACTAATCAATCAAACTCTCACATGACTTGCTGTCACAATGTGCTGCTAACTCAATTTTCAACCAACTACTACTGGCAGAACAGAATCATTTCCGGTAGACTTCAGGACAGAGGACTTCCCCAAATCACAGAACTTCCATCCAACTTTCGGATTCTCGTTACCTCTCGCCCGCTTCATGACATCAAAGAATGGCGCCTTTTCTCTGAGTCCCTCCAGTTCCTTAGATTGAGGGTATGGAAACCGAACCTCCCATCGATACTTATGCATGGGAGACCATGCCTGAGAGCTTGGTACATTTTTCTCGTATGTTAATTGACCGAGTATTTTTTCTGACCCATCATTAATGAGTAGACACTCGCTTCTGTCTGCTCCATTGCGCTTCAAGAGCTAGATACCTCATTCCTGCAGGTGCGACTGTCATTGGCAACCATTGGTCAGTACACAATTATTTTCGTCCACTCACCTTTGGGTTTGAAGTCTTCCCCGAACCACACAGGTTCAATCCTCAATGTTGGATTGACGATGCAGGTCGTGTGCACAATGATCTCTGGTTTTTCACTTTTGGCTTTGGCCGTCGGTGAGTAGTATCGTTCATCTCTCGACCATTTCTTACGCCTTACTTGAAAATGTCAGAACCCTCCACTCATTCACCCATTCGACATCAACCATATGGATGCTTCGATGCTGCCGCCTCTGTCGGACCCTCGCTGCTCTCGCCACCATCTCTTCCTGCTGCTTGCCGTTATCCCTCACTGCTGCTCACCATTATCCCATCTCTTGCTGCTGCTTGCCGTTATCCCTCGCTGCTCTCGCCACCATCTCTTGCTGCTGCTCGCCATTATCCCTCGCTGCTGCTCGCCATTATCCCTCGCTGCTGCTCGCCGTTATCCCCACCAGTCCTCGACCCATGCTCATGATCACCCCTCGTTATCACAATCGCTCTCTTGATACCTCTATCACACATGGTAATTGGGGGGAGCAGCCATGTTATTAGATTAGTTACTCAACATGTAGACTACTTAGTCCTTTGTCAATGTTTTTTTTTGTGCTCTTACAGTTTGTTTGTTTTTTGGTTTGGTTCGGGTTCGGACCACAAAAAAACCGAACCGGACCATAGAGAACGGTTCTCTATGGTCCGGTTCTGGGTTCGGACATTTGGTAGAACCGAACCGATGGTCCGGTTCTTGGTTCTCATCTAGGACCCTCCGAACTGGACCACGGCAGCACTAACACTCGCACCGTACCATCATCTCCTCGCACCCAGACTCCCCAACCCAACCACACCAGTCCTACCACCATGCGCACCTCCACTCGCATGGACGTCGATGATGACGAAGCAGGCTCCACCCGGCAAACCGAGGAGGCGGGGAAAGGCGCCCCCAAAAGAAGGAAGTGAAGGATGTGGAGACATCCTGGAGGGGAGTATGTGGCGGTCGTCGGCCACTATTGTGTTTCACCGAGTCAAGCGATCGACGAATGGACTGGTTTGAGGCCTGGTAACTAGTCGTTCCCGGGGCCATATGTTTATTTTCCGCTTTATCTAATATTCCGTTTATCACAAGCTCAGTACGATTCAACAAGTATATAAAGGTCATGTTTCGTACTTAGCCCGCAGATTTTCTTTCAATCACACTAGACTGGTATCTGGTTAACATTGCAAAGACGACTCTAAGTTTGTTGTGCCGCCATCTAAAGTCAAACGACTTCTACCTGCTGTCACACTAGTAAGCAGCGTGACCGATGAAAACAGGCTTTGCGTAATTAAGATTATGTAATCAACCGACATAGAACCATTCCAAATAAGCTGGCGGAGTGCAAGGTAAAGTATGTGCAAGATGCTCCCGTATGCAGGCACATATTACAGTGACCTATCTCCGTATAATACGAGGGAACGGACATGCATAATATCCCGTATGATACGGGCCAGCGGACCGTGGGCCCATGATAAAAATATCCTCGACTATGACGGATGGGCCGGGAGGCAAATTATTCCCGATGGAGACAGGTGGGCCCATGCAGGGAATATATAGAGTAGATGAGTGGGCCGATGTACATGAATATTAGGTAGATGGGTGGGCCGAGGTAGTTGGATATTATGCAGATGGGTGTATTAAGGTAGATGTGTATGAGATAGATGGGTAGGTACTTGTTATCACATTCACGGGTGGGCCCAGACACATATTAAATTAGACGGGTGGGCCGAGGGTATTATAAAATATTGTATTTGACGGGTGGGCCCAGATGCATATTAATTAGACGGGTGGGCCGAGGGTGTTGTATGGGATGTTGTATTAGACGGGTGGGCCGAGGGTGGTATAAAATATAGATGGGTGGGCCCATGTGTATCATAATTGTAGACATGATGGAGCTGAGGTAGTTGTACATCAACCAAATCAGAGGAGGTAATAAATCAAAGTTACCAAGTTCCCGGAGCAGCAGGTGATCTCCTGACATGGCCTTTGATGGTGCACAGGTTGTCTTGCAGAATGTGGAATCCGGGGTGCGAAGCTTGTGTTGCCCTACGAGAAGCCAAGTTCCGACCACCAGAATTTGAGTCAACTGTACCGAGTTCCGAGTTCCGGGACCCGGAACTCAACACATAATTTAGTTAATACTTTCCGTGTTAAATGGCCAACCGAAGTTGAGATGTTTCTGAAGAGAGCAGCAGGTGCTCTCTTGACATGGCCTTTGATGGTGCGTAGGTTGTCTTGCAGAATGTGGAATCCGGGGTGCGAAGCTTGTGTTGCCCTATGAGAAGCCAAGTTCCGACCACCAAAATGTGAGTCAACCGTACTCATAGGAGGTAATAAATCAAAGTTACCGAGTTCCCGGAGCAGCAGGTGATCTCCTGACATGGCCTTTGATGGTGCACAGGTTGTCTTGCAGAATTTGGAATCCGGGGTGCGAGGCTTGTGTTTCCCTACAAGAAGCCAAGTTCCGACCACCCAAATTTGGGTCAACCGTACCGACTTCCGAGTTCCGGGACCCGGGAGTCGACAAATGAATATCTGATGACCAGCACACTGCCAATCAGGTAGTATTTCATTGAGCAATGGATAATAATACATCTTTGACAGCCAAAATTATCTCAGGCTCCCTTATCTGATCCTCTCTATCTCCACCCCCTTTAACACCAAAGTCCGGACATTCAGCATTCAGTGTCTGATTTCCCAAGATTAACATCCAGCATGAACGGTTCTTCCCCTTCCACTCCTGATAGTATAAACATCTGGCGCACTTGGGCCCTGACTGTGACTTATGAAGCAGGGGAATATACCGAACAGAAATTCAAGGCAGAGAAGACTGGAGGAGGCCCAGTCATACCTTCCCCCAACCTAGACACTGATCTGGTGATGGCGTGTGATCGCTTGGCTGATGTACTCATAAAGGCATATAAAAACCCCAGTGGGTCTTCCTGCAGATTCGGAAAATTCGTTTTATCATTCAAATTCCTGCATGACAGTTCAGATGCAGGTGGATATTGCAAGATATAGCAAATTGATCTCCCCGAAGGACACCGGGCATAATGAACAGAGAGAGGCTAGGTTGCTTGAGAGGTGTCCTCCTGGCCATGAAGGCAAAAGGTTGGTCGACGAACCTGCCACAATTCTCGATGCATCCGGTGCCATCATCGCATGGTACCTCCCAGACGCCCTGACCGACACCACCCAGGTGTGTAATATACATTGTTACTCAATGGATATTGAATATCAAATGGAACCTACAGAAGGAAATCAGGGAAGCCACCAATTTGCTCGCTCCAAGCCTCGAAAAAAGTGTAAGGGCTGATGGCAATTGGCGAACTAATCAAAAGTGGTTCAACCGGGGCTCGGAAGATGTTGGGGCAACTCCCGGATGCATCAATTTATCTCTGGCATGGTTTCAACAGGGACACGAGGTAGGATCTGATGAGATGGTGATTCCGGCAGTCATACTCACCAATCCCAAAGAATGTGTCCGATCCGGAGGTATCTGCATCATTGAAGGGACCTTCCTGCGAGAATATCCTCAAAGCCATTTCAAGGCCAGCAGCCATCGCGTCCGTGGCACTCAGAGTCATGCATCCTGAGCAGTACTGGGCAGGGTTGCGAACCTTGTCAAACCTCGGACATATAGCAGTAAGCAAGGATCTGCCACAGATGCCGGAGGCCCTGCAGTACTGGGCATCGGTGTTTAACACCCTCTCCATCATTTCCAATCGGGAAACCCCAAATCATCGAGACCATTTGTCCATTGCTGAATGCTTCGACATTCTCACCACTGTGGGGAACTATTCTAATGCTCGGATGACAATGCCAAGCCTTCAGCTGGAGTTCAAGTACAATTCCGGCTGTATGATTGCGTTTTCCGGAAGGATTGTGAGACATGGAGTTTATGATGTGGAAGGGGATCGGATTGCTTGGGCATGGTATATGAGGGATTCTGTTCACATTTACGCTGGTGTTCCATCATGTGGATGGGCTAGTGTGGATGGTCCATACAGTGTGTGAAAGATCAAACAAAGAGCATGCATTGTGACCTATATACATTCCAACAAATGAATACCATGTACCAATAGTTATCTGGACCTCAATACTCAATTGTGAGCATTTGCGAAGTGATATATGGGACTTAATAATTTGGATGCGAGCCTCGGTATTCGATAATCGGAACTCGGGACTTGACATATGGGAGTCCCAAGTGCCGGGGTACTGAGTCCCGACACCCGGACCTCAGCACTTGATATTTGAGACTGGGGGAAGATGTATCAATATGCTCAAATTAACATTTGTTATTGCCGTACACATTTGACAAAACCCTGAACCCCGACATTGTGAACTCGGGACTCGACACTGTTCTGAATACCGAGTCCCGGAAGCCTAGGTCCCGAGTCCCGAATTTCGGAGTTCGGGGTTCGGCGACCCGGAGCTCGGCAACTGTGTTGGGTGTCAGGGTATGCGGAGCATTGGAGATAGCATGTGTCAGTATTTTGCATTTCATGGTTCATGTTTGGCTGACACATGTGATCTCCAATGTTCCGGATACCCTGACACCCAACACAGTTGCCGAGCTCCGGGTTGCCGAACCCCGAACTCCGAAATTCGGGACTCGGGACCTGGGTTTCGGGACTCGGGACTCGGAGCTCGTGACCTGGGACTCGACAGTGTTCTAAATACCGAGTCCCTGACGCCCGATTCCATAATCACGAAAGATGAACCATGAAATGCAGAATACTGACACATGCTATCTCCAATGCTCCGGATACCCTGACACCCAACACAGTTGCCGAGCTCCGGGTCACCGAGTCCCGAAGCCCGAGTCCCGAGTCCCGAATTTCGGAGTTCGGGGTTCGGTGACCCGGAGCTCGGCAACTGTGTTGGGTGTCAGGGTATGCGGAGCATTGGAGATAGCATGTGTCAGTATTTTGCATTTCATGGTTCATGTTTGGCTGACACATGTGATCTCCAATGTTCCGGATACCCTGACACCCAACACAGTTGCCGAGCTCCGGGTCACCGAACCCCGAACTCCGAAATTCGGGACTCGGGACTCGGGCTTCGGGACTCGGTGACCCGGAGCTCGGCAACTGTGTTGGGTGTCAGGGTATCCGGAGCATTGGAGATAGCATGTGTCAGTATTTTGTGTTTCATGGTTCATGTTTGGCTGACACATGCGATCTCCAATGCTCCGGATACCCTGACACCCAACACAGTTGCCGAGCTCCAGGTCACCGAACCCCGAACTCCGAAATTCGGGACTCGGGACTCGGGCTTCGGGACTCGGTGACCCGGAGCTCGGCAACTGTGTTGGGTGTCAGGGTATCCGGAGCATTGGAGATAGCATGTGTCAGTATTCTGCGTTTCATGGTTCATCTTTCGTGATTATGGAATCTTTCGTGATTATAGAATCGGGCGTCAGGGACTCGGTATTCAGAACA